GAAACCCCAGCCCTGTCCCTGGCTCTCCCCCAGCCTCCCCTGTGCTGAGCTCCAGAGACCCCATTCCTCAGCCCTGCCCCCAGGCACATCCAGGAGGAAGGGACAGGGCCCTGCTTCCCACCCCACTTTCCTGGAGAAGCCTCCCCCACTCCTGTCCCCCCTCTCACCTCCTCTGTGCTCCTGCAGCGACAGCCAGACTCATCCTGAGGTCCTTCCCCTTGTCTGTGAGGAGCTCGTTCTCTGCGTCCCTGGTCTCAGCTCCCAGGACGGCTTCTGCCCACGGTCCCCGGGGCTCTGCCCTGCCGTTCTCACTGTCATAGTGCAGGAAGGGCTGACTGTCCAAATGTCCCTCAGCCAGAAATCTGGGTTGCACAGATCCATCCTGGGAGCCCACAGTAAGGGTATACTGCAGGGTGTGGGGTCCTGGAAAAGAGGGAGCCCCACGTGAAACCACATCTTGGGGAGACCCGCACATGAAATGTGTAGAAATGTCTTCTGTCCTGACTTCCTGAGGATACAGAAAACAGACTTGAGCTCATAGACAAGGATGAAGATTTCAGAGGCTGGTTGATGGCGTGGTGGTTGGAGGCACTGGACTCTCGCATGGCTGACCGTGGTTCGAGTCCTGAACCTGGTGGCTTGCTTTCTCACTTTCCCTTTCTCTCACTCACTTTCACTCTGTCCCTCTCTGGTCAAATTAAAAATGATGGATAAATAAAGTTAAATAAAAATCATAATTCTTTTTTAAAAGAGATCTTTGGGGGACTAACAGTTAGCATAATGGCTATGTCACTGAACTCCCATGTAGTCGACTGCGGTTTGAGTCCTGGACCCAGTGGCTTAAATTCACGCCAGGTGCATGTGCGTGCGTGCCCAAGATTTTGAGAAGAGAATGGAGGAGAAGGGACTGCAGCATGGCCTTCCCCCCTGGGGGGTGATTTCTCGCTTTCTGTCTCTCTGTCTCTCTCTGTCTTTCTGGTGAGCGCACGCACCCTATAGCAAAAATAAACCTCTCCAACAACAACAACAAAAAATTGTTGTTAACACAGCATTTTAAACATCTTTCATCATTTATAAGTAAAAATAGAAGTGTGTTTTGTATACTGCTTGTAGTTATAGTGACAGATTTTCATGTTGAAATTCTCATATCACCTTGCATTAACTTAAAAGTTTCATGTGATGGGATCAGCAGTTAACGTAATGGCTATGTTGCTGAACTCCCATGTAGTCGACTGCAGTTCAAGTACCGGACCCAGTGGCTTAAACTCACACCGGGCACATGTGCGTGTGTGCCCAAGATTCCGAAAGGAGAATGGAGGAGAAGGGATTGTGGAGTGACCATCCCCCCTGGTGAGTGATTTCTCACTTTCTATCTCTGTCTTTCTCTGTCTTTCTGGCGCTGGCGATGTTATGTGCCCTATAGCAAAAACCTCTAAAAAAAAAAAAAAAGTTTCATGTGAGTTTTTACTATTAGGATGATTAAGCTGTGTTTAGGATAAAATGTTATGTTTTTCCTCTATATATTTTTCTTCTTGTTTTCTTGAATAATAGTAATTGATACTTCTTATATAAATGTTCTCTCAACTCTTAGGAATTACAAAGTATTGACAAGAAAGTAGTTATTAAAATATTAAAAAGAAAACAAATATACTCTATGAAATACTATTCAGCCATTAAAAAAAAAAAACCTGACTTTTGACAGAAAGTGGGAGAATATGGAAGATTTACTGCTGAGTGAAGCAAGCCAGGCTATAAAGGAGAGACATTGTATGTCCCCACTTAATATATACCGAATGTCCGCACTCTGTGACTGAAACTGATTGACTAAAGGACATAGAAACACAGTAAATGGGTACAAATACCAGATATAGTGTGTGTGAAAGAGGAGGGTCTGAGGAAGGACATTTAGAAGAAAAATAAGGAGGCAAAGCATTAATGTCACAAAGAAATGTGGTATTATCTGTTGAAGATATTTTGTACTTTTATCAACTGGACTAGGGAGAAATATTCACTTTGAAAGCTAAATAATGTGATTGAATGTATAAAAGGAAATGAAATTTAAAAATGCAAATAAAAAAAGAACAAACTAAAAAAAAAAGAAAAGAAAAACACTTGAATAAGAGTCAATATGCATAAGAAGTAGAAATGTGAAATACTTCAAAGAACACTCAGGATTTATATTACAGGATTCTCATGCCAGACTTATCATAGAGGCGATTGAGGCATTTTACTGCAGAGAACAGTTTGAGACTGAAAGTGTTTGAAATTATATTTTCATTTTCTTTTTTTTTTTTTTTGAGATTTTTGCCATAAGGCATGCATATTTGACAGAGAGAGAGGGAGAGTGACAAATCATGCCCCAGGTGGATGGCCATCCTGCAACCCCCTTTCTTGAGATTTTTGGGCATGTATGCACATATGCTCAGTGTGTATTTCAAGCTGCCGGGTCCAGGACTCAAACCATAGAATCTGCCATGTGGGATCCAGCACTTTAACCACTGTGCCACCTGCTGGCCTACTATTTTCATTGCATTTTCAAAGAGACAGTATAGTTACATTGTTCCAACCTCTGTTGATTACTACTTTATATCTGTTTAATGCATTGCAAATTTAAATGAAAGTATAAAAAATTAAATGACTGTTTTTGTTTTCTTATGTAAAACCTCAGTTCTTAGAACAAGCACATGGCATAATGGTTATGTCTCTAGACTCCCACAGTCGAATGCAGTTCAAGTCTTGAACCCGGTGACTTAAAATTCATGCCAGGCATGTGCGCATGCATGCCCAAGATCCTGAGAGGAGAATGGAGGGGAAGGGATTATAACGTGGCCATCCCCCGAGTGGAGTGATTTCTCGCTTTCTATCTCTCTGTCTCTCCAAGTAGCACACACACCCTATGGCAAAAATCTCTCTTTAATATAAAATAAAATAAAATCTCAGTTCTCAGGGCCAACAGTTGGCATATGGCTATGTCTCTAGACTCCCATGTAGTTGACCACGGTTCAAGTTCCAGACACAGTGGCTTAAACTCATGCCGGGCATGTGTGTGTGCATGGCCAAGATCCTAAGAGGAGAATGGAGGAGAAGGTATTGTGGCGTGGCCATCCTCCCAGGGGATGATTTCTCGCTTTCTGGCTTTCTGTCTCTCTGTCTCTCTGTCTCTCTCTTTTCGGTGAGCCCACATGCCTTATAGCAAAAACCTCTCAAAAAAATTAAACAATTTCAATCAATAATAATATTATATTCAGCAAGACTGTCCTTCAAATCGGAAGAAAGTATTCTCAGATAGACAAAAACTGAAAGAATTCACCAATGATAGATCAGCTCTAGAGGAAGTACTGAGGGGAGTGTTGTATCAATATAATTAAAGAGAGAGACAAACAGAAATAGAGAACAAGAAAACAACTAATAAAATGGCTAACAAAATGACAGGGATAAATCTGTAAACATCCATAATAACATTGAACATTAACAGATTAAATTCTCCCATTAAAAGACACAGACTGGCTGAAGCCATCTATATACTGCTTACGGGAAACACACCTCACTGATAAGGACATACATAGACTGAAGGTGAAGGATGGAAAAAGATATTCCAGGCAAATGGAAACCCAAGAAAGACTGGAGTAACAATACTGATATCAAACAAAACAGACTCTAAGATAAAAGACCTAAGAGAGAGAACAGGGGCACTGCAGGGAGGCATATATCTGAGGTGCCCTGTCATTTCGTGTGCCCCCCCCAAGCGCAGTGCACAACTTTTTTACTTTTTTATTTAATTTTTTTAAAAATTCAGTCTATTCTCTTTATTTTTTTTCCTTTTTTTCTGTTTGTATTCTCTTCTTCTCCTATCTTACTTTATCATTTTGCTGCTCAGCTTCCACTCAGTGAGTGTACAGACAGGTTTTTGTCCATAGTAGCCAACCCTCTGAATTTTATTAGGCTTAGAGCAGCACAAAGGGAGAAATTCCTCTACATGAATCTGAACTCAAATCTCTCTCTGTGGATACCATGTTGCAAACCACAGTAGAGGTGAGAAAACGGCACAGAAGTTCCTCACACTAAAGGGAAGCACACAAGCTTACAGTTGCAGAAATCCTCCTCAGCAAATTAGCCAAATGTAAATACCCCACCAAATGACTAAAAATCAAAGAAGAGAGACTGCAAAATGAGCAACAGAAAGAAGGGCAGAGCTGAACAGTGAGCATGGCTCATCTCTTGTATGCCTCTTAACTCTCTCTTGAAACCCCACAGCTCAGCCCAGGTACACCTGTTTTTTAGGAACTGGGAGGCCTATGTAATATCTACTTTCAATGACAAAAGTGGAAGTTGCTTGGTGAGTGTCAGGGAAATGAAACTGCAGAGAGATGGCAGATCATTTCCTCCTGTACACCTCTGAATGCTCAGATTTAACTCAAAAAAATTAGGAAGAAATGCATAAT